GCTCTTTCAGCTACCTTTCACTTCTGCATTTCCAAAACAGTTACCGTGAGAAACAGTGGAGGTGCAGCACAGTGTTTGAAATGAAGTTTTCAAGTCCCGCTGATACTTACAGTGGCGTGAAACCAATGCTCTTTAGGCTACACTTGAAACTGCTTCAGCCAGCTCCAGAGCTGAGCTAGCAGTAAAGCCCATCTCCAGTGCTGGGTGAGAGGCACTGTGGTACATCCTGGGAACCACATTGCCTCTGGTGAGTCACCACCTTCTCCCTCCTGCTGTGCAGGCATCCACCTCTGCTGTCTTTCTGTCTCTAACACAGGTCCTGTCCCCAGCATGGGCCCTGTCCCAAACCTGGTCTCCAAATTAGCTGACCCAGGGTCTGAATAATTTGCCATTTCCTCCAGCAGAGTTTTTTCCACTGAAAAGCTCCCATTTAATTTACTGTGTGGGCAGAACACCCCTCCCTTTGCAAGTACAACACATGTCATCCAGGATATGCTGGAACTTTGGAAAAATCAGACACCCCATGTTTCACATCCTCCTTTTTTGGATAACAAGGGAAGCATAAATGAATATTGGCAATGTTGCATTGATCATTTTAGTTTCTCATTCTTTTCGCTTTAAGAATTCTCATTTCCTTTTTCTGAATTAGTCATTACTCAATTAACCAAATAAAAATACAGCACATATTGACTTCGTGTCACTCTCTCTTATCACTTTCCCCACTGTTCAAGAGACACTACCACCGTCACGTCAAATAAATTTGCTTTGAGGAAATTATAAATTTGCTTGATAAAGAGAACTATGCAGGCAGAAAGGACATATACTCTCAGAAAACATTAGATTTAGTAACTCAGAACATTTGAATTTAAAAAGTAAGGATTACGTGACAATGAAACATACCTGAAATAGCTTAAGAACTGAGTAACTAGTAGATCTTGAAACCTTATTGGCAATTGGGATTCATTATCAATGTATTAATGAAAATGCCTCCATTGTGAATATTAAGCATCAGTATAGCACTCACTGATGAAAACTTGTAAAAAGTGAAGAAAAGTAATTAAATCTAGACTTTCTTGAGCCTTTTTTTGAGACACTGCAAGAGATCACTTTGTTTAGCTTATCAAAAGAAAACAAAACAAAAAAAGAATGCTGAGAAGTGACCTAATTAGAATAAGAAAGTATGTTTTTGGGCAAAACATATCTTTAATCTATCTGAGAAGATGATAATATAAAGCAATGGCTTGGAGGTAGATATCTTCAGACTAAAAGGTACACATATGTTTTCTGTTATTGTTTTGACACCAAAGATAGTTAATGATTGGAGCAAAATACCTAAAGAAATGGCAAATTTTTCATCTTTTGATACTTTTATATCAAGACTGGATATTAAACATTAAATGGGTATTATGGTATCTGATCTATATATCATATGGAAGAAACAGTGATCCCTTATGACTGAACTGTGCAGGTCTATAGCAGCTGAACAGTATTTAAGCTTTTTGGTTTCAACTTGTTTGAAAGAAAATCAAAACCCACTGTTGTGTCATAAATAATAGGGTTAAACAGTAAGGCTAATTGTAAATAATTGTATATCTCTACTAGACTCTCAAGCTTATAATAAAACATACATGAAGGTATTAAAATGCAAAGAGAAAAGAAAGTATTATTGTTTTTTAGTAAACACTCGTGTAATGTTCTATCTTAAAAAAATTAAAAGTAAATTATTTGCATATATCTATTGGTGCTAAAACAATTACACTGAAATGATATAGTACTCTTAAGTAGAAGAAACATTTTAAATATTAAATATGAAAAACTATAAAATAAAATACATTTATAGTTATACCATCCTATTTTTCCTTAAGTAGTTGCATTTGTTTCTTGAAAACCTTATACAAGATTTGATGTAGAGATACTCATTTTAAAACATAATTGAGTACTTTTCATTCCTTAGACATTCTATTACATATTTATTTTACTAATTAATTTAGCCATATAAAAGTATGCCTATTTGAGGCTGGAGGCAGACAAACAGTTGTAAACAAAATAACTCCACACACACACCTACTTCCTGTAATCCATTTGAAATTGCTGGTGATACTTAAATAAACATAACATTTTGTTCTGCTTCCCTCAATAGAAATCATGATTAGAAAACAGAGTTCCATAATTGATTGCTTTGCGTCCTCTTATAATATCAGTGCAGGCCAAGGCTGAAGGAAAAGGATTTAATATAACATACAATATGAACATTTTTGCATAGCATTAGTGCACTAAGCTGTTTTTTGGTGCAGGAAGAAACTGTGACTTGACATTCCCAGAGCTCTGCACTCAAGGATCAAATGAATAGTGAGCAAGTCACAGCCAATGGTCAAAGAAGATGTACCCCTGCTGAAGAGATGGTGGGTGGATTGAAGATTTGGTGGGTGGACTGTTTGGTGAAAAAGGAATTGGTTGGATAGTCACGTCCAAAGTGTAGTGGTCAATGACTCAGAGTCCTAATGGACGTTAGTGACAAGTGGTGTCCCTCAGGGATCTCTCTAGGGATCGGTGTTATTTAATATCTTCACCAATGACACAGATGAAGGGATCGAGTGCATATTTGCAGATGACACAAAGTGGTGCAGTTGACACACCTGAAGGATGGGATGACATTCAGAGTGACATGGACAAGCTCAAGAAGTGGGTCCATGGGAATTTTATAGTGTTTAATAAGACCTGGGTCAAGGCAACCCCCAATATCAATACAGTGGATGGAGGGATCAAGAGCAGCCCTGCTGAGAAGGACTTGGGGGTGCTGGTGGATGAGAGGCTGGACATGAGCTGACAATGTGGGCTTGCAGTCCAGAAAGCCAACCATAATTAGGGGTTGTCTCAAAAAAAGAATGGCTGGCAGGTCAACGGAGATGATTCTACCTCTCTACTTCCCTCTGGTGAGACCCCATCTGGAGTATTGTGTTCAGCCCTAGAGTACCCAGCACAGGAAAGACATGGACCTGTTGGAGCGAGTCTGTACAAGGACCACCAAGATGATTAAAGGGATGAAGCACCTTACCTATGAGAAAAGGCTGAGAGAATTGAGTTTGTTCAGCCTGGAAGAGAGAAGGCTTTGGGGTGATTTCAGCCTTCCAGTACCCGAAGGGAGCCTTCAAGAGAGACACTATTTACAAGAGTGTGTAGTGACAGGGCAAGAGGGAATAGTTTCAGATTGAGAGTGGGTTCAGACTAGATATCAGGAATAAATTCTTTACTGTGAGGATAGTGAGGCACTGGAACATTTTGGCCAGGTTGTATGGGGCTCTGAATAGCCTGGTTTAGCAAATGTTGTCCCTGCCCATGTCAGGGATGTTGGAACTAGATGACCTTTAAGATTCCTTCCAACCCAAGCCCTTCTTTGATTCCATGATTTTACAGTATCCTGCTAACCTTCCATTAGTCCACTTTCAGCAGGAATATTAACCAGTGTCCTGTCAAAGATTGGAGAGGTGATTTAAGCATTTCTCATCCGCTGCTTTTTCAAAGAGACCACTCTAAGTGAATTAGATTCAGCTCATGCCAACCTCCCAGGCCCCACACAGCAGCCACAGAAACAGTTTTTAGTAGAAGGATGGTAAATATCTGGCTGGTGTACTTGTACAGTGAGAGCCCAGTCCTGCAATGCTTATGCAAACAGCTTCACCAAAGCAGATGGAAATTGAAACATCAAACCCTAAATCAATTTAAGCACGTGCCGTTGGAGAACAGCAGCTCTCAAAGCAAGCTCATGAACAAGCAACTATTCTTTCCAAGCAGAGTTACAGAAGTAGAACTACGGAAAGGAAATGAAAGTTTGAAACAGAAGTTACCTCTTCAGGCAAACAACACTAAGACCTGTGTACAACCAGTGCTAATTGATCTTCTTCGGGAATACTCTGTCAGATCTCTCGGACTGCATGGAACTGATCAAAATCAACTTAGAAATTAATTCCCTCATCAACCTTTTTTCTTTTCTTTTTCTTTTTTTTTTTTTCTTTCTTTTTCTGAGTTTTTTGGGTCTGCATATTACTCACAGTAAATTTCAAGAGTTTGGCTGTTGAAATAATGGATGCAGTATGTTAATGTTGGTTTTAATGCATTTTATCTTAAAACAACCACATTTCAGTTCATGGCAAATACAGACCTATTTCAATAAATTACCCTATGACTTAAATCCCCAGAAGGCCTTTTCCCCACTGGTCTTAGGAAAGAGCATTTCTGTCATTCTAAACATCCATACTAAATTCATCGACAGAAAACATCTCAAGGGAAATGAAAAAAAAAAAAAAAAAAAAAAAAAAAAAAAAAAAAAAAAAAAAAAAAAAAAAAAAAAAAAAAAAAAAAAAAAAAAAAAAAAAAAAAAAAAAAAAAAAAAAAAAAAAAAAAAAAAAAAAAAAAAAAAAAAAAAAAAAAAAAAAAAAAAAAAAAAAAAAAAAAAAGAGCCAGCTTTTAAAGTCCCAAGAAAATAAATAAGAAGTAAGTACAAGGGCTATCACTCTGCTCTTCACTCGACCTCTCATGGGTGTTATATTTGTAGGTACGGGAACGAGGCAATCGAAAAAGTCGGGACTCCTTGATCCTTGCATCCTTGCGGGTCCCTTCCGGCTCAGGATGATAAGGGGATGGGGCGGGGGACCGGGTGTGCTTTCTGCAGATAGACGTTTGTTTCCCAAAACCTGTGACATTATTTGAGTACACTAGTGTGTGGGCACATACACGCGTGTGCATGCAGGCACAGACACACGCGGCGATACTGCCACCCCGGCTATGCCTTGCCCGCCCGCGGCGGCGGCGGCCCCGGGCAGGGCTCGGATCGGCGGGGCGGGCGGGCTCTCTGGGTGACGCGGGGCGGGCGGGGCGGGGCGGGGCGGTACAAACGGGCCGGCTCCAGGCACCGCGCTCCGGCTGCGGCGCTGCCGGCCGGGCGACGCGGCGGCAGCGGGCGCTCCATCGGTGCGCGGCTCGCTCCACAGCTCACCGCTGCCGGGCGCGCTTCCCCCGGCTCCGCCGGCACCCACGGGCGCCCATGGAACAGCGGGGCGAGCGCTGCCCCACGGCCCCGCGCCCCGGCGGTGAGTGACGCGCTGGGGAGGGATCGGCGCGCCGAGTGCTGCCCTGCGCGGCGCGGGAAGTTTTTGGGGTGGAAGCGGGTGCCGGGGCGATCGTGGATCGCCAAGGGTGCACAGGCGCTGTCGCGGGGCGCTGCCGCCCGCCCGGCACCTGCTGGCGGCAGGTGGGAGCCCCGCGGCCGCGGGAGGCGAGCGCCGCACGGCGCCGCTGCGGGGCTGGGCAGCGCGGGCGCCCGGCCGTGCGGTGCCGTGACCGCCCCGGGAGGGACCCGCGGCGCTGCTCCGCGCCCTCCCTGCTCGCCGAGACGGGCTCTGGCTGACAGCGCTGTCGGAGGGGAAAGGAGAGAAAGGAGGGGAGAAAAAGCAAAGCGGCCGGAATTACCTCCGGCATTACCTGACCAGGTGTGGCCCTCGGGGCGCTTTCTCACCATCTTTCCCGTGTGGCTAAATGACAGGCACACGTAAGGGCAGAGTGGCAGGGCTGTGGAATAGGGGTGCCACGGTGCGGGGCTCCTACCTGACAGGAGAACGTTTGCAAAGGCTCCGCTGAGCATCTTTGATGTGTTCCCACGCTGAATGCTGGAGCCGGCTGGATGCAGCGTGCTGAACTGGAACCTGGCGAGCAGCTTAAGGCTGGAGGGAGAGCGGTCTTTGGGGGTTGGCCAGGAGGGCACAGAACCTTAACTTCAGCTCATTTCTGTTTTGAAGGACTGGCTTCCTAGAATACTACAGGGAAGTCTTGCTCACTGCAGTTCTCAGTGTGCTTTCTAGGGATAAAGATGTGTGCAGTTCAAATCTTTTGGGGGCAAAAGAATGCAAGAGGGAGCGGTGGCAGACCCCAGCTGGAAGAGTTCTGATTTGGTCTCGTCTTTCGGCCAGATGTTCAAAAGATCAGGAAAGGGCACACAGCTAAGTGCAGGCAATTCAATCACCTCAGTTGACTGGGAATTAAAGTATATGATTCTCATTCCTCTCTATGTTAGTGCAGTAGGTTGAGGGCTTTCCTTGTTTCAGAACTGTTCCTCTGTGGATACTGGGGTGGAAAAAATATCTGAGAAGTTCTAGAAATACCATGCTTAAATGGTGTGGGGAGGGAATGTCTGCAGGGAGCATCTTTCGGGCACCAGAGATGCACTCATGGCCCATTCCCACTGAGAGCCTCTGCAGTATATATGGCAAGTGGAATGTGAGTAGAACAGGTTCATTTTGGTGAATGCCCATGTACTGTCTGGCTATCAGACTTATTTTGTAAGTATAAATGTAATAACTGTTACAATTTACATCTGCTAGCATTTCTTGCACTCTCGAGCAAGTGTATTTCCCACATTGCTCAAAAACGATAACGTCTCAGTAAGAGCACAGTCACTGACATCAACTTCAGCTATGTCTTGCACATCCACCCTTTCAATACCCACCCTGTTTTGTTGGTTTTTTTTTTTTTTTTGTTTGTTTGTTTTTTCTATTTGGAAAATGCAGAGATTTTTGATAGTGCATAGCCAAACAAATACCTCTGGTAGGTCAGCAGCAAGACTAGGCAACTGAAGTAAAGCCAGCTACTGCAGTGGAAAGGCACAAATTTGTCAGAGCAAATTCCAACCCCAGGACTGCCAAGTTCCCATCTGTGTCCCTCCCCTTGTCAGGATACTACCTGTGTTATTCTGAACTAGCCATATGCTTACACAGACACTACAGAAAAACAGAGTGGGTAGAATATATGCATATTCATATGACTTTTCTGCTTTTCATTAGAGGAAACCAAAAATGTTTTTATTAGTCTGACTAGCCTGGGACCTCTCTCTTCCCTCCAGAAATGCCACCCATAGCTTATAAGCTATCAGAGTTGAAAAATATGTCAAAGCTGAAGGATTAAAAGTTTTGATAATAAGAAAAAGAAAACTGTCATATGCCAAGGCAGTCCAAGATGGGAGATCCTGCTGGGTCATCTCACTTGTCACTCCAGAGCATGAGGGTTCTCTCCAGGTCACTGTGTAGTGCTTCGCTTAGTAAATTGATTGGTTTAGCTAAATCTAATACAGTGATGACCTCACCAGTATGCACTGTTCTCCAGTGTTATTCTGAAGGCAGGAAAGTGGAAGACGCAGAAATCTACTTGGAATATGAACTAAAAGATTATTTGGAGGTTTGGGGTTTTTTTTGTTTATTTTGTTTTTATTGTTTTACATATCTTACTAGTATTTGATACAGAGCCCACAGCTACAGAGAATGGTGAGAAATTGCTTGGCAGGGGAAATGAGAATGGGATTGCTTAGTCTGCTGTGTTCCCTATTTTAATACATCCAGTTAAGGTGAACCTTTGTACAGAAAGGAAGCCAGACAGGACAGAGCCATTCTTTCACACAGGTTGTTTTCTTGAAGACAGCTTTGATGAATTAGGAAGCAACGCTATTAACTGTGCAATAGATTTCTGCTTCCTAATTAGAATGTGACCCATTTTGCTTGGAAAGTGGGATGGCAAGTAGTTTCTGGATTTTGAATAGAGCTTTTGGGTTTATGGGGGGGGACAGAGAAGTAGTGGTGAAGTGTACCCTCTTTATGAAAAAAAAAAAAAAATGAATCTTGACAGTTGTTTAAAAAATTGCTAAAAGTTGGTAGGGGGATTCCATATTAGCATTCAGTACAAAAAATTCTGTGCATCCTAAGCTTTTCAAGTTTATTTTTATTCTGCTGTAATGTCCCATTTTATTTTTACCTGCATGAGGTTCTCTGAAATCTAGGGTATTCTCTCTTCTAAAAATTTTTATGATCTCCTGGCATGAAAGACTGAAATGGTCCCTTCTGACCTTAAGAGAAAGAGTGAATGTTATATATAACCACAGTCTATTATAAATTTGCTACCTTATTGCTCACACTGGAGCTGAACTCCTTCTTTAGAAGTCATGAACTGGTGGCCTAGCTAATTTGCATAAACTGTATTTATCACAGCAGGTGCAGAAATACAGCAGATTTCAGCCAAAAATACTTCCTACCAAGTCAACCTTTCTTAACTCATGAAGTTCCCCTGATTAGAAATACACTTTAAAAGTCTCTAAGTTTTGAAGTCTTAGAGCTCATAGACAACATATCATCTTAATAGAACTGAAATTATGATTAGATTTCTTAACATGCTGACTATAAAGTTAAAGCCATAGTTTATCTCTACTGGCTCTGCAGCAGTTTTAATATAATTTGGTAAATGTACCTAGACAGTATCATCTAGGCACTTGTAAGATAGGTTCAATCATCTAGGCACTTGTAAGATAGGTTCATACACTTACTTGTTATTTCGTGTCCCCTCTTCATGCACAGATGGCTTTTTTTATGTATCATGAGGTAATCAATAGTTTATCCCCCTAGAGATCTATGGTTTCAGTAGTATGTAGTTCTACCTAATTTATTATGCTTGCCTCTGTAGCACTCAGTAATGTAGGCAATTACTTGTAGTTAATTACTGGAAACTAGAATTCAAGTATTTCATTGACACGTTTTTAAAACTTTTGTTAAAATGTGATTAAAATATGTGAGGGGGTAGTACAGAAAGCATTTCTTCATGAAGAGGGTATTGTAGACAGTTTAATATTTAAAAATAGCAAAATACAGAATATATTTCCAAGAAAAAACATGTTTCATAAATTTGGTTAAATTTAAAAAAAGAAAAAAAATGCTCACTTTCCTTCCCTGCTCTTGATTGAGTTTTAAGTGATAGCTGTACTGGGGAGTTTTATGTCAACAGGATACAAAGTGGCACTTGATGAACTCATATAAACAACTAAGGAATATATCCTGTGGTGGACACAGTATATTCTTAGTGGAAATAAATATATACTGTTCATATCAATGAGTTATTGAAGAATTTCAAGTACGCTGCAATTGATCTAGTTCATGTTTTTTTAATACATAACTGAATACAAATGTTCAGATCACTGACTGTTCATCAGTTTAGAAAGTTGGTTTTAGAGTTGGTTAGCTCAGTTAAGGGAATTTTTCTTTTCCAATAGGAGAAACCAGCATAGCAGATGTGTGGGTTGTACTGCACAGCTACTTTTAACCATCAATGTTAGTCTTACATTTTGCAGTACTGAGTGCTGAAATATGTGCAAGGGAAAATACAGTCCACAAACTGTCCTGAGGTTCTATCACATCTGCAAAACGAAATATACTTTATATGAACAGAATGTCTTACTCAGATTTTCAGCTCTAATCTCCCTCTACAGACAAATTTTAGTAACTGAACTATGGCTCTCATTCAGGCCAGAATCTATTTTTTTTAGATGCCTGGGCAGACAGCTTTCCAGTGAAAGGCTTCAGTTCTCCAAGGAGAGAAAGTGAGAACATTTGAAACTTAACCTGTTTCTCCACAGTCCCAAGAGAATCATAAAAACACAACTTCTGTTTGATGAAGGTGAAGTCATCTGCATGCTTATAGAGAGGATGTAATCCTCCCTTTCCTATTACTGTTCTGGCGACTGTGTCCCATTAGCTCCACTAAATCTCTGTGTGTTGCTGTGACCTTTTTTGGGGAAGTATATTGCTGTCAGATCTGCCAGCAGATGCTACCTGATGCTTACTGACTGCCCTATAGACACTCTTTATGTTTCCTCCTACCCACTTGGACAGATAACTTGAAGGTTCTTATGAAAGCTCAGAGCAAAATCTAATCCCATTCCATTCCCAGCAAAAATGAAGTTATCGGTCTGGGCAAAAACTACCTTATTATTTTTAAATGGGTATTAAACTAAAAAGTATATATAATCTAGACAATTTAGGCAATGTCATTGAGTGAGGATAAATATATTGAGGTGTTGAAATACCTTGGTTATGTGATAAGAAATAGTCAAAAGTCATAAAATAATGATATGTTTCAAAGAGCACTGTAATATGCTTAAAAGTCAATTAAATATGGCAGCTGTGGCCCTCATACTGCATTTACTGAGAAAAGCTTCCATTTATTTCCAAGTTACTATTACTATTGAAGAGGTTTGAATCATAAAAACTGGTTTGATTGGCAAAGTCCACATGAAATCTTGTTGAATAAACAGAATAGCACATTTCACTAATTAATTGGGGAAAGCTGAAGAAAAGATTAAGCAAAAGCAATCAGACTTTTCGAAAAGTCTTGGTATAATCGTCAAAGCACCATTTAACATAAACTGTGTTTCTTTTACAATTTGGTCGTTTACTTGGAGCAAAGGCAATAGTAATGACTGTCAGTTAAATTTTTTGTATTACTCTGGAATACAAAGTCATGGAGTGAAGTCATGTATGCTCTGCGTGAACTTGTGGATGCAGTGAAGAGAATTTTTAAAGCAGAAAAGTAATTTGGCAGAGTGGCTGCTATAAACTTCTCAGTGCATGCTTATTATTGTTGAAAGAGTTTTTCAAACCCACAAATTATAAAGCTATACATGTTTGCATCCTTTTATATAAACTGCTGGAATTCTAGACACCAAGCTACAGATCTACATAAAACACTAAAGATGACATAAGAGATGAAAGCTGAATGGCAACCAATTTATATGCTGCTTTATTCCTGGAGACCACTTTGCCCACGCAACATATGTTTTGTGCTGAATTTAGAGGCACACTCATGTCCATTGTGTTGCATTAGTCTAACACAACAAAATAATTGATCCAGATATCAATCCTATACAGTTTGGGAGAAACAAAAGAGAATGGAAAGAAAGTTCTGACAAAGCTTTATTGCTTGCAGACAAAACAACAATAGCATACAGGTACTTTAAATGGCATGATTACTAATATGGTTCATTGTGACTGCATGAAGTAAGTGGTACAGATACCAAAGCAGTGTTCTGCAGTGGCATATGTGCACCTAAGCAAATAGCTGGGGAGGAACGGTGAAATTCTGTATGTCTGAAACAGAAGATATTCCCCTGTTATTCTGAGGTTTCATGCTGCAACAGAAAACAGTTGCTTCGTTTATAGAAAAAGCTCTCCCTTGAAAAAGTGTTTGAGTTAAGAATGGGAAGACACTGAGTCGGGGCTCTACAGAGGCTCAAAAAGCTGTCTGACATGAGGCCCCAGGTACCACACCTGTAATATCCCACGAGTCTGATTTCAAAGAGCAATGCTGGCCAAAACAAGAGAAGAGCTGCAGCTAAGAGACACCTTGCTGTGTCTTTTCTCCAGAAGTTCCTATGCTGTGTTCAGCCACAGGAAGGCTTGCATAAAAACGTAGGCAACTGAGTAGTATGCAAAATAGCAATTATAAATTAAAACTCCCAATGAATTGATATATAAAGTTCATTATTAGAAACAAACAAACAAAATAACCAGGCATCCAGCTCCCCCCCCCCCCAAAAAAAAACCCCAACAAACCAAGAACAACAAAACCAAACAAAAAAACCTAATCCAGGAATGTGTTGTCTCTAATATCTGAGCCCAGCAGCTCAAAAATTAATCTCTCCAGAGACAGTCTATCCCAGAGCTTGCAATAGCACATTTCAGTCTGACTTTTAAAAAATAAGAGTTCCCTCCATTTGGCTTTAACATAACTCCTTTCAAGACAGTTCAGCCTGTTCCTCCCTGGAATCCTATTATGCTTTTCCAATAAGGTGTTAAGGCAACAACTCAGGCCTGCTATTTATGGAGCTAGTGACTTAAAATATACACTGAAGTAAGTGGCTATTCCTTTAATCTGTGACCTTAAAATTCAGCAAGAGTTGATGTTTTGTTGTTCTTATGTACTGAGCTGCCCATCCGTCACTGATCCAATCTCACTGGTGCTGTGTTGTTTGCTCCCATTGCTGCTGAATATGGTGGCAGCATAGCTCAGTGGGGACATCCACCATGAATTTACCTATATCGAGTTTCCTGTCACCCAGTGTCTTCCCCCACCCACATCCGCAGTGTGAGGTTATCGACACTGTTTCTTGTTAAAACTGAAGTAGATTAAGCTGAGAAAGATTAACAAGAATGGTGAGGATGGGGAAAGAGAGCAGAAGACTAATGACAGCAGCCAAATGGCTTTCAGCCGGAGAAAACAGTGGCCAAGAATGGAAAAACAACAAATTCCTCTGGAAAGTTGCCTTACATCAGACATCACAGAACGGCCCAGGACATGACCCGCCTGAGACCATGAGCTCAAAGCCTGTAGGCATAGAAGAAGGCATTCTTTTGCCTTCCCATCTCTCATGGCACTTTACTTCCCTCTCTTCCCGGCTTTGATTTCTTTTTCCTAACAATATTACTGGCTTATAACCCTTTAAAAATGAAAAAAGAGAAAGCACAGAAGTGATAATCAGTAGCAAACATCAGGAAGCAGACCTGCTCTATTCAGGATGGAGTCATGACCTCTCTAAATGCAAAGCTATCAAACAGAACTTTAGATCCCTTAGAAACACATCATTAGTCCTTGTTGCACTGGGACTTAGCTTATTGTGGAAAAGTCATTAGTTTCTTTTCACATTCTCTGGAGAGTTTCCAAAACCTAACCCTTGCATTTCCTCAGGTTGTTCATATGTAATTTCATATTTTAGCCCTTGTTAGCAGGCACAGTACATGCTGTTCCAAGCTTAAATTCATAATTACGGTAACCTACTAAGGCAAAGCAGTCAAGTGCTCAGCCATCATGGCTTCTGCTTCTAAATGGAGTTAGACCATACCAAAGTCATACACCAGCCCTTTACTGAGGGTATAAATTTTTGAAAGGCATCTTAATTCAGGGAGCTTGTGTACACAGGCTGCTCATAATGTGACAATCTAACAGCTGAACTGTGTGTGAAGCTATTACAATTTCACTTCAAACATTGCATTAAAAACACGCTGACCTTTAAATGATGTTCAGTGGTGGTATTTAGCAGTCTTTTGACAAAGTCTAAAGTTAGTTCTTTACATCACAAAAGCTTGCTGGCTAACTCTCAAAATGACCTACAGAGGTACCCATTGTATTTTCTTTCGTGAACATCAAGACTGGAACCAGAATTCCTTTACTGTTATGTTGATTTAATCATACTACAGTGTATGGGTTCATTATCTTACTTTTTTATGGGGCCAGGGTGCATACTGCCTATTTTATCCTTTGAAACCCTAAGCACAAAACAAAAGTTAACTTCACTTAAAAATGACACAAAAGATCAACTTTTCCTTGATCTTCTATTCACCCAGAGCTGTTCCTAACTTATTCCCAGGAGAATGTTGCTTTGTCATGGTTGGGCAGCTCTACCTATGTAGCATAAACCTTTTTCCCAGGAGGCTTGACTTCCAAGATTGCTGTCACATGGTTCTTTGGGAGACTGTAATACCCAGACATCCAACAAGTCCCCTCATTATAAGAATGCTCTTTTGGTCCAGTTCACAACTTTTCCTTTTATATGCTCTGCTTCCAAGAAAACCTTCTCTTGTAGATGAAAAAAAGCACTTAATTCTCTTGTGATTGTGGTTCAACTCCAAGGAAATCGGAGTTTAAAAAAAATTAAAACATTCTAGATGAATCTTCAGTGCAAGAGAAAGATTCATAATGTTTATATCTTCTGATGATTGGAAATAATTTTCTCATGGCATTGTTATGCATGTTTTTTAAAACATTTATTTACACCAAAATATCTATGAGCCTAGAGTTGGGAAAGCTGAAGTTTTTTGTTCAGTTGTGAAAAGCAGAAGATATTTGCAGTGTGGCTTTAGTAGTGATATGTCTGAATATAAAATAATGTGCTTTTTCTTTTTCTTTTCCCTCTTTCAGCAAAGTTTCTGCTTGAGAAATACACATTCACTCAGCAAAACAAAAACAGCTTTTAAAGGTTGTTCTCGGTGGAAATCGCTCTATGCCCTATTACCTGCTTGAGTGAAACCAGACTAAGAACTTCTGTCATGGCAGCTTTTCTGCTGGGAGCTGTGTTGCTTATTGTTCAACCTCAGATAGTGCCTTCCAGACCAGCTATAAATTCGAGTGCTGAGACTTCTCAGTCTGTTCAGAGAGAGCTTTTAAAGAAAACATCTCAGAAAAATGACTTCAAGGAAAACATTCATTCTAATGGATCATGTCAGCAGCTGCCACAGACTATTATTATTGGAGTGAGAAAAGGTGGAACAAGAGCTTTGTTAGAGATGTTGAGTCTCCATCCAGATATTGCAGCAGCAGAAAGTGAAGTTCACTTCTTTGACTGGGAAGATCATTACAGAAATGGATTGCAGTGGTATATTAGTCAAATGCCATTCTCTTATCCCCATCAGATCACCGTGGAAAAAACTCCAGCATATTTCACATCACCTAAAGTGCCTGAAAGAGTTTATAACATGAACCAATCAATGAGACTACTCCTTATTTTAAGAGACCCAAGTGAAAGAGTACTATCAGATTACACCCAAGTGTTTTACAATCACATGCAGAAGCACAAGCCGTATCCATCCATTGAACAATTCCTGATTAAAGATGGTGAACTCAATGTGGACTACAAGGCAATAAACAGAAGCTTGTACTACATTCACATGCAGAACTGGCTGAAGTATTTTCCTCTTGATCATATCCACATTGTAGATGGGGATAAATTGATCAAAGACCCCTTCCCAGAAATAGAAAAGGTTGAGAGGTTTTTGAAGTTATCACCACAGATAAATGCTTCAAACTTTTATTTCAATAAAACTAAAGGCTTCTATTGCCTAAGGGACAGTGGTAGAGAGCGCTGTTTACATGAGTCAAAAGGACGAGCGCACCCACAAGTAGATACCCGGTTACTCGAGAAACTGCATGAATATTTCCGTGAACCCAACAAGAAATTTTTTGAGCTTGTGGGCAGGACATTTGATTGGCACTCATTTGTGGCAAGTTAGTGGTAAGCTTCAGAACCTATGTTCCAGTGTACAGTTAGAAAAATTTAAAAGGGCATTTAAAGTATAATTTATTTGTAAAATCCATAAATACTTCTGTACAGTATTAGATTCACAATTGCCATATATACTAGTTATATTTTTCTACTTGTTAAATTTGAAAGCATTTTGTATTGTTTTTCATGGTTGTTAACATTGTGTATGATGTGTCTGTATGAAGAAACTAAATTATTTCACTGCAGAAGATGCTCTCTTGAGAATGTGTTGTCTTTTTAATAAATAAGAAATTCATTTCGACAGAGCCTTGCTGAATTATTTGAATACTTTGGCCTTCCTGGACTATTCAGGATGTTTTTTTCCTCTAATTGCTAATGAATATGCTAAACTTTACATTTCCATTTATCTTGCTTTAATGTGTGGTTTAATAATTTATTTTTTGTTTGAAAATATTGTTGTAGTTAACAAATTGTTCCATCCTACTCTATAAAATTATTTCCTGATAAATTGGTGGTACTTACACATATTGGGACATGCACACTCAAATGACAATGGAAATCTCTGTGTAATATGACGTTAACTGCTATACTTACCTTACCTTCGTATTTACTATTATAACAAGTGCTCCTCAAATTCTTTGGCAGTACAGTGCAGGTTTCGTGGCAGATTTTTAAAGGTTCTGTGGGGACCAGCTCATAAAATCCAATTAGCTGTAGAAATATGGTCAACCTGAAAACTTCTTACAGTCTCTGAATGTATATATACTTCATAAAGAAGCAGGGTTGAGAGAATTTGAGCAATATAGAGATTTTTTCAAGGCTGCTTAAGACTGTTCCTACATTTTACACCACATTTATGCTTTACCATCAGTGAAAATGAACACTTACACCAGAAAAATTAGTTGGTCTGCATTCCAGTAAGCATCAACCTTTTTCATATAAATATCACCACACTTTTACCCCACTTAAAGCTGTTTTCCATGAGTTGAGAAGTTGCTTTATGCAACTGAAAATTGCCTATGGACTACTATTTCTTTAATCTCCTTCCAAGAACCTTTATGCTAAGTCTTGATTAGGCATGTGTTGTGGGATTAACCCAAAATCCAAGAACTTTCTTTGTTTTCTATCTGGTAAAAATGGAAGTTAGATGTTAGTGCATTGGTAAAAATTGAAGCTGTCCTTATCTACAGTGGTTATGATTTCTTGTTAACCATCAGTTTCTGGAATAGGAGTTAATCCTATTTCCACACAAGGCTTCCTACACTACTTTCATTCTGAGGTCCTAATTTTAATTTTATGATCTTGAGTTTAGTTGTCAAATGTGCAGTGGCAACACCCAGTAAATTTGATCTTGAAGCTGATTGCTACAATCCTTTGTAAAATTTAAATGTAGATTGATTAATTTTTTCTGGTGAGCTGGTGCAAACTTGGGCACTATGACAAGGTATAGTCTTGGATGCAAATATCCCATATTACGCCTCTTGCATGAAAATTTGCAGATGCTGCCCCTCTCTTCTCCCACTCCTTGTGTACCTGCCCAAGCTGTATTCAACCTCAGAGAGGTTGGTGGTATTTTATAAATTAGACCTTTGACAAAAGCCTACAATTAAATGGTATTGTACTCAATAAAATATTTTCTGAATTGCATTTTTCCTTTCTCTTTTGTTCATCAGTTTCTAGTCTGTAAGACCAGAATCTAGGATTTAAACCCAGTTTAGCTTCCAGTTAAACATTACTTAAGAACTCAGCTGTAGCCTAGTGGACTGATTAGAAAGCAGTTGTTTACTACTGGATTGTGCCTGAATGGTCCACTGCTGACCCACAATACACAAGGAGAGAAAGTTTCTGATGGCAATAATGTCAAATACTACGTGAAGCAGGTGCCAAAAATAACACAATTATACTACCATCGTGCTTCTAATAAAGTTTTAGAAAGGAGAATTTCAGGGGATTTTATATAAGGTGGGACAGCATTTTTTATCTACATTTCCTTCATAGTGTGATCTTTGCAAGAGCCAGAAGGACCAGAGAGATGTTGGCCCAGAAAAGAGACTTCCCACCTTAGTATAGTCCTGCATTCACTACAGTCTCAGACTAATCTCAACAAATTCACCAACTTTTTGCTGGGAAAAGAAAAATACTACCAGGGCTTGTTACCAGGAACCAGAGGAGTACAAGAAGGCAGGATTGCAATAAGTTCAGTTGCAGCAGGTCACACAGCATAGAGCATAAGTGTTGAATTGTGAATGTCCAAGCAATATGGACAGCTGATGTTGGTACTGAGGATATTTTTAGTGTATAATGCTGTTTGATTCCACTATTTTGCCTGTCACTAAGCAGAACACATTTCTCCCCACCCAGTATAGTTTGTCTCTGTAGAAAAGAGAAGCAGAGCATGACTCGTTGGGTCACTATTATTGTTTTAGTGTTAGAAACTCATAGAGCATTCTCTGCAGGATCCAGAGGTGAAGTGGCCACTTCAGGGGGACATCCTGAAGCAGAAATTCATATGACTCCTGTCCTAGACACCAAATCAAAGAAGTTCACAGAAATTTTATCACACCAAATATTTAAACCCCGTGCAGCGACAACATCATTGTATAATACCATATCCTGGAGCTTGCACAGCTGGATATTCGGTAGCTATGACGATGATGGACAATAGATCACACCCACACTAATAATTTAAAAATATTTACCTGCCATAGATGCTTAAGTTCAAGAGTTACAATTCTCAAAACTATTCTGAGTGTGAATGTTCAGTTTAACATGAGCAAGTTTCATTTTCCACGTATGCATTACTGTAGTTAAATGTATTTGCTAGGCTATTTCTAAAGAAGGCCTAGACAACAACAAAAGCCGCCTGAAGAAAGTGAAGAGAGAATGGAAGAAAGAGACTTAAGTATATTCTAGTTGGGACTGTATAAAAACTTATAGTGAACTTTGAAGTCATGCCATAAAAAAAAAAGTCCCTGAAAATACTTTTCCAGTGTTATGCAATATAGGCGTTTATTTCTGTAAAACTCGACCATCTCAGGTCTAAAGTACAACCACTTGGGTGTTGCTCAAGAGACCTGCTTCCTTGGGGCAGCTAGCCAAGTCTGTGATCACTCTTGCAAATATAAATACAAAGCTTTATGAGAATTCAATGTCCAACTCAAAGCCTGGCACTCCCCTTGAGTACAAAAAGAAATGCCAGTCAAATAATTAATCAGGGTGGCACTAGAAGACTTAGTCTTGCTCTTTGCGTCACAACACAGATTAGTGTGAGACTTTGAAAGCCAGATATTGTACCTTCAGAGAGCGAAGATTAAACTATAGTGATTATCCTATGAACACTGCTGGAAGATTATGGAAAGGGAAAAACCACAAGTTATTACTTCAGCAAGAGTACTGCAATATCTACTGTTGGTGCTGTATGATTTTGTTACATGTGCTTTGCTCTTCCTTATACCTTTTTTGTGCTATTACAGGTGAAATAACATCTACCGTCCTTGAATAAATCAACATTGTTTTGAAACACATCAGAAAAAAAAAAAATCTATCCATTTTTAAATCTTGCTACATTTATTGATGAGTGTGTGAAACTTACCACCACAGAATATTTTAGATGAAAACTTTGTTAGTTTGTTTCTCAAAGCTGATCATTTTATATTTCCTTGTCTACTGCCATTTTCAGATTCAGTTTCTGCAGAAAGCCAGGATTCTCATTCCCTGTTGTCATTCAGACAGATTTCAAATGTCTAAAGAGAAATTCAGTGGGGTACAGCATATTTCCATGTGTCTTTCTTCTGCTTTATCTAGCATAGCTGACCAAATATTTAAGAAAGTACATACTCGTACTCCGTAAGTAAGAGGCTGTGCATCAAAACTACTTCTAAGAGAAACATTCCTTCTCCTTTCTCTTTTTTTGAAGTCTCTGACTTAAATGTCCTAGTTCACCTCACATTGTGAATGAGATTTTACAGGAATATATTAGTAGATGTTCTCTACTACAATAAAAAAAGTAATAAAAGTACAATAAGGCAAAAGCATTAAATTAAACTATATCAACAAAATATGTTGAACTTGCTACTAGGTATATACCAGCTGAAATAGTTGCAAGCGTGTGCCCCTACAGCTGTAACATTATTTTCTCATTGTTAACCCAGTACTTTTTATTTATATGACTCTACCTAAATGCCCAGTTATGCCAGAGAGACCGTATGTTCAATGTTAATTGCCTCATTTTTGCAATGGATTGGAAAGGCAGTTATAGGTGGAAGCCATGCAAATATCTAATGAGTGAAAACAACTTTTATTAAAAATTTGCTTACAAAAATAAATGAAATTGAAATTATGTCTTCTAGAATATTAGTAAAGGAGAACAGTACCCTCTTTCCTACAAAAATAACCTACCCACAGTAAATTTTCTGCTTAACTACCACACAACATTTGATGTAGTTTCTAACTTAATAGTGCAATAAACTCAACAGTGATGCTGCAGATTTTAAATGCCTTCTGGGAAATATAAAATATGCAAGTCAGGGTGGGGAGCAGCTGGATGCATAGGAACATCTGGTATGATTGGTCTGAGATCTGAGAACACTTTTTGTTTTTAAATGGTAAGGACATGAAATTTTTGGCTTGAAGATCGCTTTGTGTTGTCTATGAAAGCAATGACTTCAATTAACTTCCAAGTCAATAATCCGAGCATAATGACATCATCTTTATACTTGATATTGACATCATTCTCTGCCAAAACACATTTTAAGAGCCAAACCCCAGATAGCAGGTGCATGAGGGATCCCTTAGTATAAAAAAAAAATAAATTGTAATAGAACTCAGACACAGCTTCAATTACAAATGCACATTGCCTTGCACAGAGGAATCCTCTGAAATGAATGGGAAAATTCTTCTTTCCATAATTTGGATGAGGATTACAGAACAAGGAACATGTATACCTTCACATCAGATTAACTAAGATATGTTCCCCTCCTTCATTTTCAATCAATCAGTCAGCAGTATTCAACAATAAAGATCAGGTCAGCTTCCAGGACCCAACACATTCAATCCAGAACACACTCAGTTACAGCAGGAAGAGTTCTTGCAGTGTTTCTTACACCAAAAAGACTTCTCAGTGTATCTCCTATTACTTAAATTTATGTAATTCCTCTTTTCTCTCCTGTATACAGCTGTATCACATCTGTCATATCAATTATTACATTATCACTCTATAAGAAAATAATCCATGATATGATGATGTTTTTA